AAAGCGTTACTATCCCATATGATCCATAGAGATCTAAGCAACCCCATTCATCAGACTAATCTACATCTCCATTATGGCCTCCCTTACCGAGAAGAGGAAGAAGAGGAAGACAAAGGCACGGATTCGTCTCGTTCATTTTTTCATTACGCTCCAGACACCTCAACCAAGTTTGTGCCAAAAGACCCAACAATACACAAATCGCTCTCTATCAAGCAAGTTCTTGAGCGGCGTCTATCCTGGGTAACTCTTGGTGGTCAATACGATTGGACGAATCGAGAGTACCCTAGCCAGTCTCCTCCCGACTTCCCCCACGATATATCCAACTTTCTCCATACACTCTTTCCCGAGACCCTTGCCCAAGCTGCCATCGTCAACTTCTATAGCCCGGGAGATACGATGATGATGCACCGAGACGTAAGTGAGGAGTCAGACAAGGGTCTCGTGAGTCTTAGCATTGGTTGCGATGCACTGTTCATGATAGCACCAAATGGGTACGGAAAACAGACTCCACCGGACAGCACAGAGAAGCCATACCTCTTGCTGAGGTTAAGATCCGGTGATGCTATTTACATGGCCCAGGAGTCACGCTACGCTTGGCATGGCGTGCCAAAAGTCCTCAAAGACACATGTCCGGATTTCATTGCCGACTGGCCGGCGGAGAACGGCAAGTTTGAAGAATGGAAAGGATGGATGAGAAATAAGCGTATCAATCTGAACGTCAGGCAGATGAAATGAATAATCTTGCCACTCTTCGATTTGATCGCACATAAAAATTGGAGCAGCATACGTTCGCGTACATTTTTACATTTAAAGAGCCATACACTGCTGTTACTACTGTTTTAGCTACTATTTACCTTGCCACTCGCCCTCAACCTATCGTACCTCAAGACACTCTGCAGCAAAACCTCAGCACCCAGAGCACAGTCCTCCGGGCTAGTATACTCCTCGGGGTTATGACTAACCCCATTCTTTGACGGCACAAAGATCATGCTTGTCGGGCATCGCCGATTAGCATACACACTGTCATGTCCAGCCCCACTCGACATATCCCGAACCAAACTGGCGCTTCCAGTGACGGCCTCGGCAGAAGCACGTACGGCGGCAATACAATCCGGGTGGAATATCGTGGCGGGCGAGACAAAGTCGGTCTTCCACTCCACGCCAAGAGGTCTCCCGGGTGTCGATCGCGCAAGAAGTCCATCTATGTCGTTACCTGCTGCCAGCGCTGCGAAATCCCGCTTCAGATCCACCTCCATCGCTTCGACGATTGCATCGGCTGGGGCACGGACATCGAGCGTGAAGCTTACTTGGCCTGGTATGGTGTTGGTGCTTCCGGGGTTAAGCGTCAGAATGCCGGTCGAGGCCAGAGCAGAATGTGCCGTGGCTAGGCGGTGCGAGTGTGTTATTAGGCGTGCCGCAAGAAGCATCGCATCGGCGCGACTATTGAGAGGTGTTGTTCCTGTGTGCGCATCTATCCCATAAAATCAGTACAAGCTGCTTTCTGGATTATTTTCTTGATGTCAATGGGGGAGTTACCTCTTCCCTGAATATTGACTGTGAACCACTTATAAGCCTGAACCCCCTTTACGACACCCACCTTCTGTTTCTCTGTCTCGAGTATCGGACCCTGCTCGATGTGAAGCTCGAAGTGCGCCGCCATAGGCACACTTCGATAACTTGCTGGTGTTGATCCAAGGTAACCAATTCGTTCGAGCTCGGATTTCATGGTCGCTGTCCCACTTCCTACCTCCTGAAGGTTGTGGGCGCGGTCAAGAGGAATTTCTTCTGCCCATACTCCAGATGACGACATACTTAACGGGAATCGGGCACCTTCCTCACTATCTCATCATGTTAATTCGACCTAAGCTCAGTTTTTCTAGATAATTAGAGAGGAGGAAACATACTTCGTCCAATTTACAACTCCGACCGGAAATTCAGTCTCTATCTGGTGATCTTGCAGCACTCTAAGCATTTCAATCCCGGCTTGAATGCCTAAAATACCGTCGTATCTGCCTCCGCTTGGCTGGGTATCAAGATGCGAACCCGCAAATGTCGCTGGACCTTCCCGACGACCAGGGCGCACAGCGAAGATATTTCCCATGGCGTCAACCGTAGCATTGCACCCAAGACCCTTAGTAGTCTCCACGAACCAATCTCGGGCCTGCTTATCTGAATCGCTCAGTGCAAGCCTTGACATACCTGTTTCCGTCGTCGCGCTATCGGTCGTAATATTTATGAGTATACTACTCTGAAGAAGTAGAGATTATAGGAAGCTTGTACTTACCTTCCCCATCGCTTCCCAGTTCCCCACGAGCACGTCTGGTGCAGCGTGTCCATTAGCCTCTCCTGCTGCACCTTCAAAGATTCAATATTTCCATCGTAAGTACCTGTGCTCGAATAGAATCGTGCATTATATGGTAAGGTGCGATATGGTGACGATGCGGGGCATGATCTTCCAACCCCCACGATCGAGGTGAGGCGCCTTCCCTGAGCAAGAAAGGCAAATTGGCGGCGAGTTATATAGGACATATTCAAGAGCCAATGTTATCATACAGAGTTACGATTACAACTTCTAAATATATACGGATTGTATGGTCCAATGCGTAGTCGCTAGCGATATCGTCGGAGCTAAAGACCTTGCGAAATCGGACGTGGTACGCAGGGCGTAGAAGTCACGTGCCCCCTTCGGCTATGACATCGGGCCAAATACCCCTAAATGTGAGAAGGAGAGAGCCGATTTTACCTGGTGGACTTTAAGACAATACCTATTTATTGAAGTAGACTCATATTACTATGATGTAACTATGTTTTATGCATCAAGCTCCATAATGCTCGATTTTCCCGTCAAAGGACACAACTCTTAGGCGCGCTAGTCCTCAGACCTTAAACGGGCCTGCACCCGCGACTTGGAAGAAACCTTCCGGATCATACTTTGCGCTCACAGTTTGCAAGTGGGCCTTGCTCTCTGGCCCATACGAACTGATCGGATCTTGATGAAAGAAAGAATAGTTCATGTATCGGTAAGATGCAGACACATTCTTGCTCTTCGCTTTGTCGTCAATTCTCCCAAGTGCTTCCTTGTTGGTATCATACACGATCTCGTCGTCGCTGGAACTATCCCATGATGTGTAGAGTAGCACTACAACAAGAGGACCATCAGACGGATTCAGTCCTAAAGAGTTCCCGCCTTGGATTTGAGATTGCTCAATCAGAGAGACGGGTAATGGTTCGAAGGTAAGCGAGAAAAGGAGATTTTCTACCCCTTTTAGCTTGTCGAATGATGCGCGATATACTTCTACCGCATACTCGAGGATTTCAACATCCGCCTTGACGGTGGTGGACATCTTGACCACTCTATTTGCATATTAGTAGGCTAAACCTTGAACGAGGGAAACTCACATACCTGTTAGAAGGCGCAGGGAATGCCTCATCAGTAAACCCCTTCAAACTATCACTACGTAGGCTCTTCATCTGATCGATCTGAGGTTGGACATCCGCAAAGGGTACCAATGCATTTGGTTTCTCCGGTCTCGAACAGAAGATATCGTTCATGCACATGATATCACCAAGAGGAGGGGCATATCCAAGACTAACGCAGATATGAATCTCGCGATCTGGGTTTGGGCTGTGAAGGTAGTCGACAAGGCCCTGTATCTGACTGGAGAAGCTGGGTTGAAAGTAGAAGACCTTCCCACCCCATAATGGCCCCTGTTCGAAGACTCTGAGATCGAAACGGGTGACGATGCCGAAATTGCTTCCTCCGCCCTTGAGCGCGATCCATAAGTCCCTATTTGCTTCTGCGTTGGCGTTCACGATTTCACCGCTGGCGAGCACGACCTCGTAGTTCACCACGTTGTCGCAGACGAAGCCGCGATAGTAGGAGAAGTATGACAGACCACCTGAGATGATTAGTGCCTGTGCGAGCTGGTGCAAGATATCTAGACTTGTTACCTTGAAGCGCATCTCCCCCGATTCCGCCACTCGAGTGTCGATTGCCGACCACTCCAAGACCCGCAGCTGTTACAGTTTCGTACACCTTACCCATCTGTTCCCCGGCTGCAACTGACACATATTCCTTCTCCGTATTGAGATGTACACCTCGAAGGTTGCGAAGGTGGATTGTGATGCCATCGCGAACATTGGCAACTCCAGGCGTTGCTTGCTGACCGGAACCGCAGATCGAAACCTTGATGCCACTGGCGAATGGCTTGATGGCCTTTACAACATCTGCGATTTGCGAAGCCGAACTTGGAACCAGGAAACACGCTGGCTTCAACTCGCGTTCTAATACTGAAAAGTATGAGTTGGTGATGGTATTGTACTCCTCGGTCTCGGGGAGAACTACCAAGTCACCCGAGACTGTTCGGACAGCTTCAATTGCATCTGAGATAGACATGCTGTATTGTATGGGGTGAAGCAATAAAGAGAGTCGTTGGTCAGCCAAATGGACCAAGCATATCTACACAGGTTCAATGATTTCTCGTTAAGAAGGATGGTTGGGACATCGAGGGGTACCGGAAATTGATGCAAGGGAGTTCAACTGTGTTGGTTACAATGACAAAGATTTTATGTAGCCAACTCTCGAATAGGTAACTACAAGCAACTCTACCTATATTATATAACAGTAAATACTTAATCGCTGTTGGAGCTGGAAGAGTTTCAATGGTCTTACTGGACTTGCGATATCGTTTGATTTCATCGGATAAGTCAGACATGTCCGACAAAGTCATCTTAAAATCCATAGCTTCTAGTCGTTGCATTTGGTACCTGTACACGACCTACCCATGGCATGACCAATTTTACCGACTTCTGTCAGGTAGTATGAGAACAGTGATCACAAATTGCCGTAGTCGATATTTCAAACACAGTGTTCTGTTTAGTGAGGGTTAGAGCACAGTGGCCAGTGTGGGTTTGAGTAACCCTATCAGTGGATACTCAGGATATATAGCTATAATACAAGCGCCTTTTCATCACAAGATACCCAGATGAAGAAACGCATGTCCGAATTGGTGTAGTGGCTAACATTTGACGCTCTCATGGTCTGAGTAGATCTGTATGATTATTACTTGCTGTTTGATCCGTCAAGCCCGGGGTTCGATTCCCCGATTCGGAGTTGATTTTTCCAGTTTGTCTCGCTGGAGGGATATTTTTTTCTTCTCTCATTTAAGCTTGAGGATGGATCCGTTTCCAATAATTTTTTTATTTACTGGTGGAGACCAGGAACATCCGAGGTGGATCGCCTAGCGTCGCTGTCATGAGATTGGAGCTAGCTCAAGATGGTAGTATTAAACGGCCGCTGCTAATGGTGCTAGCTAGTGGCTATATCAAATCTTCGTCGTGGCCAGCTTCACCCTAGATATCTGGTCCGGCAAAATGTGCCTGCTTGGCAGACGCGAGCGTTCTTCAGCTGTCAGGGGTATGGCACAAGGGCTGCGGGCGAGGGGACGGAATATGCAGAGCTGAAGAACTAAATGCCTAGAGAAGAAAAGTCCTAAGAATAATGGTAATTCAAACGAACGTGCTCTTGTATGCCTCTCTTCGCGTTGGAGATACGATGCTTAGTCCCTAATGCCAGTTTCGCGACTTTTCTAGCTACTCGTCTTGTCTTCGTATATTCGCTTAGAGAAGTCCTTCGTTGGATTAAGAGGCCGATAATGGCTCAATTTCGGTCGTTGCTCATTTTGGCATGCTTAGGTGCACCGCTTGTCCGGGCTGAAGATATCGTCTATGTTACAGATCTCTCAATTTTCACAGTCTTGGTTAGTTGGCTCCGTTTACTTATCATGTCTGCGGGATCTTCATACAACACACATGAAGTGGAGGATGATGCGACCTATGTTATAACTTGGATATGAGGAGTCAGCATAATGCGCCTGGTCATTTGGCTCGCTCTAATAGACAGTTGATTGATGTTTAATGTGTTAGGCTCCGTGCGCAGCCGCTGCTATCTCGGAGAACGTTCAGTCGCAGACATTTGATAGCTGCCCCGAGGCAGTTACGGACCTCCAGTCATGTGTGTGCACAAAAGACAACAATTACGCTTCGATATCGACGGGGATTTCGAGGTCGGTTAGCTACAGCTGCGGCTCGACTGCTTCCGAAGACCAGGCGAGTGCAGCCAGCGTGTTCAAGGCGTACTGCAACCAGGATTCAATAACGCCGTTCCCTACACCTACCAACCCGGTAACGCAGTACATCACGGATTTACCTGCATGGGAGGAACTCGCGCCATGTGCTGCAGGAGGACTGTCTTACATTGTTCAGTATGTCTTGCTTAGTAATATTCATCGTGCATGGAACTTGTTGCTAATGGTATGATAGGAGCATGGTGAGTGAGAATTGGAAAGAAGTTTATCTGCTTTACCATATAATAACGAATGGATAGACGTATGATCTATGTCCCGCGGAGCCAAGTCTCCTAGCGACTTGTGTATGCAGCAAGAACCAGAACTCCTTGCTCGCTAGTCAAAGTATCAACACTTCGGTGAAGTACTCATGTTCGTCGCATACAGCGGATATCGAATCGGCACAGGCTGTCTTCGCGGGCTACTGCGGACTGGTAGAAGGGACAACTTCTTTCCCAACTACCTCGGACCCTCCCGGTGATGGTGAGTCGTACACCCCTGTGATTCATGGATGTTGACTAATGACAACAAGTAACGTACTATATCACCGCCTTGCTCGAATTCAGCTCGTTGGCCCCTTGTGCGCAATCTGCTGTGTCGTACGGAGTTCTAAGTGTAAGTGGACAACCTACTATATTAGCTCGATAACTGACAATTGTATTTCAAGCAAACGTATGACCTTTGCTCTGGAGGCCCGAAAGCTCTTGCGTCGTGCGCTTGTCTCAAGGGCGGAATGTCTGGGCAGATTAGTAGCACTATTACCACCGAGGTGAAATATTCGTGTGATTCAATGGCAACTGACGACGTTAGCTCGGCTTTGGAAGTTTTCGATTTATACTGTAGTGCTGCCAAAGGACTGACGACTCTAGGTGGTATTACCGAGTCAGGTATGTCAACTATTATGTGAATACTCGATCCGACAATTTTTCCCTAGCTAATAATGATAGTGGAACAAACAACTGCTACTGGGAATAGTGGAACATCCGGACCAAAAGAGACTAGAAGTTCAAGCTCTGAGAGAACTGAAGGTCCTGTAGAGACTAGTGTATCCGGAAGCGAGGGGTCAAACGCCGATTCAACAAGCAAGTCGAATGCAGGCACAATTGCAGGAGCAGTAGTTGGAGCTGCAGCTAGTATCGCAATCCTAGGTCTTTTGGCCTTCTTTTTCTGGCGAAGATCGAGGGCGAATCAGGCTCACGCTTCGACGTTGCCTTCTTCTGCCGACCCAGGATTTGTTCATAAACCGGAGCTCGACAGTACCACGGCTGCTTTCACATCAACGACGTATGCCAATCCAAACTTGCTGAAGGAACAGACAAGGGAACAGATTAGCGACGTCTCTCCAGTGTCTGCCTACAGCTCGCCGAATACATCAGAACTCCAAGGCCACAGTTCATATCCCCTACCAGCCCCGGTTCCAGATATGCCTGAGTTGCATAGTCCCAATGAGAGTGCACATTCTTCGAACTTGTCCAATATTAATTCTTCATATATGCCACAGGAGACGCAAGGCAGGCCAATATTTGAAGCACCGGAGCGGCACCAGGTATATGAGGCACACGGCCAACCAAGGTCGGAGCTCCAGGGAATGAGTTGGCAGTCCGGACCAGTGGCTCCATTTCATGAGATGGAAAGTCGATGACTATATAGATACCTAAGTGATGCGTGAGCGATTAGATTTAAATCCATAGAGAGTAGTACGCAGATAGATTGTGTGTATGAATAATAAGAGTTTTTGGGTGCTATTAATACAGGAGGATCTCAGGTATTATCTGTTGTCAAATCTCGGAATTCACATTCGATCTCTGGGATGCGACACGTCTTAGGTACTTAGGTACTTAATGGCTTTGGGATTATGTAATACTGATATCCAATAAGACTAGGATATTTAAAGTGGATCTTGACATTCAGTGGTCCAAGCTCCAAGAGCTTATCATTTTTGGTTAGGCGCAAAAGAGTCGGTACGTACCGCTGCAGCAACAATGAACAGCAACATTGAAGGAATTGCTAGCCTCGTCGCGCCTTCTACCATAGTACTGAAAACAGCTTTGTACGCTCTATCCCGGCTTCCTTTGTGAAGAAAAACAGAGCCCATAGCGTTTTTCTTCACGCTTCGATTTTCCTCGTCACTCTCAACTCTTACCCACCACCAAAATTGTCCGATGACTTGATGGTTGATCAATTAATCAATCGATTAATCAAGCTATTCAAGCTCGTTCGACTCTAATTCATTCCTTACCTACTTAATTCCCTTTTCAACTTTTTTTTTTCAACTTTTATTACCATTCACGCCTTAAGTTTTCTTCCCTTTCTCTACTCGATCGCGACCTCTCAATCTCGAGCTTCCCAACTTAATCCTTGATAATTCTACGATCCTCATACCCACGCGAAACTCGAGTTACCGATTACATTGTCATTCACCTAATGGCCATATCGCGACTGAACATTTGACACGATGGCAGCCGCCGAGGTAGACCTTGGCTACCTAGCTACCCATTTGGGTATGCCCGAGGTAAACCTCACAACCGTTACCACCGATCCCACCGCCGATCTTGTTAAGGCGGTTCTTTCTGCTGTTGCAGCTAAAGGCCATGAATTCGATGGATTATTTACTCAGAAGCTTCAGCTGGAAGTAGAGTTGGAGACCTCCGTACGCAGTGCCGAAGCCCAGCGCGATGCTAGCAACGAAACTGCCAAGAAGGCGTTAAAAGAAGTTGAAGAACTTCGCCAGAAGCTTAAAGATGAAGGTACGCATATTTCCATTCTATCCTAGCTCCTACGACCCTTACGTATTAACCTTGCTACAGAGACCACGCGCCAGACACTGGAAAACGAACTGCAGTCAATCAAATCATCGAGTTCGACTTCGCAATCCGAAATCGATACACTACGTGCGCGTATCGCATCCCTAGAGACTTCAAGTCGAGAATCCCTAGCTATCATAGACACGAAAAACTCCGCGAACGAAGCCCTCTCCCAGGAGCTCCAGGCTCAACACCAGAAGAACCTTAAACTCAGCCAAGAGATCACCGCATTGCAGCAATCCGTTCAGAATGCAAACAATGCAACTAGCAGCGCTAAGTTCAGGGAACAGTCATTACAACAACAGTTACAGATGGCGCAGAGCAGTAGCGAGTTCTTTGAGAAGGAACTAAAGACCAAGTCTGCCGAAGCGCTCAAGTATCGCAAAGAGAAGGGAGCACGTATCGCGGAACTGCAACGCCAGAATGATGATGCTGCCTCCAATATCGATTCTCTGAAGCGCACAGAGCAGCAACTCCGCCAGCGTCTCGACGAATCCCAGAAGAAGGCCGACGATGCCTTAAACAGGATCCAACAGCTACAGGAGGCTGCAGCCCGGAAGGAAGAAGACTTCCGACAAGAATGCGATAGTCTACGTCGATTGACTGATCTGAAGGAGCAGCAGACCCTAACATACAAGAAACGTGTCCAAGAAGTGGAGGCTAGGGAGGAGCAGGTCAAACGAGAATGCGAAGACAGCATCCGTCGGGTTAGCGAAGAACTTGCTAGGGCCAATTCGGACAAGGAAGAACTTTCGCAGGCGATGGAATCTCTTCGCGACGAGGTCGGCCGGCTGGAAGCTATGGTGGCAGGTAGTCCCGCCCAACCCGGTTCTGCGCCTCAGACCCCACGACCACTGAACGGGTCGATTTTCCGGTCAGGCTCACCGTTTGCGACACCAGGTTCCACACGAAAGGCTGTTACGACAACGCAACTAATGGAAGACTTTTACAAGGTCAAGGGCCAGCTCAACGCTGAGAAGCTTCGCAGCGGCAACTTGGCCAAGGAGCTGGACGATGTTATCGATCAACTGGAAGCCAAGCGTCCAGAACTCGAGGAGCTTCAGGCTGACAACGAGCGACTCCAGCAGGAAATGAAGACCATGTCGCAACTTTCGGACGAAAGCTTCCGGGAGCGAGACCAGGCCAAGAAGGCAGCGCGTAAGGCCGAGGCAGCTGCTGCCGAA